TGGCTCATGAGATGTACGGTTGACCCATAATTGGGACGTAACAGAACAGATAACATATGTCATCTGAAGCTAAGAATGCTACGAATACATTTCAGAAACATTGGACAACCATTCATTCTTACAGAAAATAATATTTTAGAAACAGATCATCTTATATCATTCAGAAAATACTTATAATTGAACATAACTTTACAAAGTTATTACTCACAATTAACAGAGGGCTCCAAGGTAAACAGACAGAATGGGAAAATCAGACGTCTTGCGGCGCGTGACCTATATAGTTACAGAACGAACACGTACTGAATTACACACTCGAAAACATTAACTTAATTCTTTCTTATCTTGGTGTGTTTCTACTTCTTACCCTCATTATGGTGTCTTAATCTTGGGCTAGAAATGCCTAGGATACCATGAGGATGCTAAAATGCACTTGAAAACACTTAACAAAAATTGCTGAAAACAGGGGTCTCGCTTGAGCACAGCTTTCTTCGCTCGTGCAAACATGCTGTATGTAAGTGGTTGCTCGAGCGCACCCTCTTTCGCTCGAGCTGTCCATAAAGTATGAAAAAGTTTTGGTTGCATGCAATCTCCGCTCGACGGTCGTTCGAGCGTGAGACCCAAGTCCTCGCTCGAGCACAACTTTTGTCGCTCGAGCGGACTGTAAAACACGCAAACTTCTGAGAGCATGCAATTTACGCTCGAGCCACACTTTTGTCGCTCAAGTAGAAATGTGAAAATAAAAGTGGTCGCTCGAGCGTGGGAACCTTCGCTCGAGCATGGAAGCAAAATTCTGGATTTTCCAGATTTGCTTCCAAAGTTCAAAACAAGAATTTAACACTTCAAAACTCATCCTTTTGGGTCAAAATTTTGGAAAACATTTAAAAACTCACAAAATATCATGCTTTAAAGATCATTTCATGAAATCAAGGCCCAAAAACATGCCAATCGCTCACAAATTCAACTTAAACTTCATGAATACTCCAAGAACATAACATCCATGGAATGATTTGAGCTACAAGTTTTCAAATCATAATAAAATGAAATGAAATGATGTAAAACATGATAAATTCCTACAACTAAGCTCAATTTATGACATACATGAGAGAATTCCTAGCAAACATGCTCCAAATGTAATGAAATGTACATGCATGTATGAATTGATCTTCCTTCCTACTTCTTAAGCTTGATTCTTACATCTCCTAGCTCAATTCACTTAAATTCATGGATGAGTCAACTCAACTTCTAGACTGAAGGTTTGGTTTCTTACCTAAAGTCTTCAATTCTTTGAACTCTTGGTGAATCCTAACTCAATTCTCCAATTCTCCTTTAATTCCTAGCAATTCTTCCCTTGCTTCTTGAGATCAACTCTCACTCTCCAATTCTCTCTTCCTCTCACGTTTATGAGCTCAAGGGGTAGGAAATGAGGGTGTAAAGTAAAATAAATGAGTCAAAGTAGCCTTATATAAGCTTAATTAAAGTAGCTTAATTAAAATTGACTTAGGTTAATCACATTGACATTAATTCTTCTAATTTAATCGTTCCAAATCGAATTTCAATTGAACCTACCATAAAATTCTAAAAATCTCACATAACACATATACCAAGTCAACTTCTGAATCAGATACCGATAAGGCCTTCAATTCACAAAATATAGCAGAATCTCAAATAGATATTCTTACAATAAACAGATAGGAACACAAATAATGCAACACATATGTAATAAATCCAAAATTTGATCTTAGTAATTTATTAGGCACATGAAATCATTGATTAACGTTAATCATGGGTTGGGGTTGTTACAATCTTCCCCTCTTAACAGAGTTTGGTCCTCCAAACTCGAATTACCTTCATTCTGGAAGAACATCGGGTCCAAAGGGAACAGTTCAGGATATCTTTTCATTATGTCTTCTTCCGTTTCCCAAGTTGCATAAGTCCCTCCACGGTTTTGCCAATCAACTTTTACTAATGATATTTCTTTGTTTCTCAATCTTTTGATCCTTCGGTTGACAATTTGAATTGGTCGTTCTTCGTACGTATAATCATCTTTCAAGAGTACATGAGTCGGTTCAATGACATGGAATGGATCTCTCAAATACTCTCGAAGCATAGATACGTGAAAAACATTGTCCATGTGTTCCATTACTGGGGATAAAGCCACTCGGTACGTTACCGGGTTGATCCTTTCGAGAATCTCATATGGCCCAACATACCTTGGGGCCAGCTTGCCCTTAACACCAAACCGAGTTTGTCCTTTTATAGGGGTCACTTTTATGAACATGTGGTCCCCGACTTCATATTCTCTGTCTCTTCTTCGAACTTCTACATAGCTCTTCTGACGACTCTGTGCAGTTTTCAACCTTTGCTAAATCAATTTCACATTTTCGATTGTTTCTTGAACAAGTTCCAGTCCAACAAAGGTCTATCACCTACCTCAGCCCAATATATCGGAGATCGGCATTTTCTCCCATACAAAGCTTCGTAAGGAGCCATTCCAATGCTTCAATGGTAGCTGTTGTTGTACACAAACTTAGTCAATGGCAAATAGGTCTCCCAATTTCCTTGGAAATCTAACACGCACATTCTGAGCATAACTTCCAAGGTTTGATTGGTTCGTTCAGTTTGACAATCTGTCTGTGGGTGATAAGCACTACTCAACCTCAGTTCTGTCCCCAAAGCCTGTTATAAACTCTGCTAGAACCTTGATGTAAACTTCGAATCTCTGTCAGACACAATAGATACTAGTACACCATGTAATCTCACAATTTCATTCACATACATATTAGCTAACTTATCCGCATTATAAATAGTTTTGACAGGTAGAAAATGGACAGATTTAGTCAAACGATCAACTATAACCCAGATAGAATCCATACCTCGAGAAAAGCAAGGCAATCCCACAATAAAGTCCATGGTAATGTGCTCCCATTTTCATTCCGGTATTGGAAGCGGTTGTAACAAACCAGCGGGTCGTTGATGTTCAGCTTTAACTTGTTGGCAATGTAAACATCTAGTCACAAAATCTGCAATGCACTTTTTCATTCCAGGCCACAAAAAATTCTGTTTCAAAGCATGACACAAATTCTTTTTCTCTCTCATCTCTCATTTTCAATCATTTTTTCTCTCTCACACACATCTATTCAAGTACAACAAAATATCAAATCATTCCAAACTCCCAAACTCTAAAACTATTTTCAAAATATACAACCAAACAAACTAAAAAAATTTATAAACTCTTTTCCCAATTATTATTATTATTTTTTAAAATTTATCTCAAAATACAAACCAAACACACCCATAGGCATCGAACTCAATATATAGGTAGGTTGGTCATTTTGCAAAAAATGTCCTTATAAATATATTGGGCTTGCTTGGTTTGTATCTCAAAATATAATTTTTGAGAATTTTTTTAAAATTTTGTTTAGTTCAAATTTTTTGATTTTTTTTTTCAAAATCACTTTCTCTCTCCTATATATTAATTAATCACTTTTTCTCTCTCCTCTTTCCTTCTCAATCACTTTTTCTCTTACATGCATCTACTCAACTACAACAAAATATCAAATTATCTTAAACTCCTAAATTCCAAAACTATTTTCAAAATATACAATCAAACAAACTTCTTTTTTTTTTTTTAAATTCTCTTCCCAAAATTTTTTTAAAAAATTTATCTCAAAATACAAACCAAACACACCCACTATTTTCACGCATAGACTTTTTGGGTAATAAAAAATTCAAATTTAAATTTATGGTATGAGAGCCTAAATTTAAAAACATGTGAGAGAAAAAATGTGAATTGATTTAAAAATTGAAGAACTGCAAACGGAAACGGCAAACAGAGGTTGCTTGGTGACAAGGATGCGTTGGGATCCTCTAGAGTGATCCTCCTAAAGTGATCTCCTAGAGTGAATGTGATGGACCCGACACGTGTCCTACTAATGGAATCAAGGGTTGACATTAATCCTCACCAAAACGACGTCGTTTTGGTGGGAGAAATTAAAAAAATAAAATAAAAGGAAAGAACAACTCGGAGGAGGTTTTTCAGATCTGATTCAGAATCTATTGAGGAACTCTAAAATTTTTCATCAATGTAAACTTAAAAGAAAAGAAAGAGAAAAGAGGGAAATCCAAGTGAAAGAACAACTCGATCAATACAAAATTTCTAAGAATATTACAACTCCAGCCAAAACCCAAATCAAAGAATCAAAAAAACTGAAACCTTATTTATACACAAAACCCATAAGAGATAACTGATCTAGAATTTAACATTAACCATCACAATATCAAAGACAAGAAAAGAAACCATGATATTGAAATGAAACAAGGGTTTAAAAAGACTTACATAGAAATAATGATGATCACTAATAATGATGATCACTAATATTCCATAGAAATTTTAGAGTTCCTCAATAGCAACATAATTAGCAGATCTGGTCAATGAACACGGAGATCGGCGGAGGAGGTCTTTCAAATCTCCGCAGTAACGGCGAAGCCATGCCTGTAACAGGGCTGACTTAAACAAGGGCTGTTTTAATCATCATCATCATCATCAAGGGCTGACTTGAATAGATCTACCCCCTTCAAGGCCTTATCAGAAAGCCAACTATCACTACTATTCAACTGTGAGATTTCAAGAGGACATGAAAGAACAAGGAAAGAACAAAACAAAATCAAAACTTTGGTCCCTTCTCTCTGTCTAACCCTCTTCAGAACAGAGTGAAAGTGAACCCAGATATTTGATTTTTTTTTTTTGTATTGAAATTCCCCTACCAAAACGACGTCGTTTTGGTGAGGGATTAATCTTAACCCTTACTTCTATTAGTGGGACACATGTCGAGTCCACCTCACTTATTTTAGGTGATCACTCTAGTGAGATCACTCCAGAGGATCCTAACGCGACAAGGATGCCAACTAGTCTATTATTGAATTTTGATTGGTGGGTTACACCATATCATTATTGTGACATGGATTACCACTTTTTCTCCTCAAGCCCTACTCTTGTCTAGCTTCCCTCCTTTTCGTCCCTGCCTCTCTATTCCCTCTGGTTTTATCTCTCTCTAAACCATAAACCCTTTGGATCTCTCTATCTTGGATCCAAGCCAGACTGGACACACAATTGAAGTGATTTAGGGTTTTAAGGATTTCCAGAACCAATATTTGCAACGATGGAGGTTGATATGGAGACTTCTCCCAGCTACTTCGACCCCGAAGATCTCAGCACCAGAGAGCGCTATCGTCGTTATGGGTATTCTATTTACCATACCATACGCTTTCCATTTCAGTACTAGTCACGTTTTTCCCTCTATTTCTGCTTCATTATCATAACAAGCCCTTTGTAGTTTGTATCTTTCATTTTTATTTAAAATGCCCAATTTCAACCAGAATCATTTGGGTTGTTCACATTTATTTCCATCAATTTGGTCTAACCACATTTATATACAAATACCATGTTTACATCTGCTAGTGGAGTTACACCCATATAATTGGACACTGTTGGTAACCAACACCAAATTGGGATAGCCATTGCACTTTAGTTATATTTCATATTTTACAACCACTGTAAATATTCATTATTTAATTGAGTGTTTTAAGGAGATACATACATGTAGGCTTGATGTTGCAAGTGTCTTTTACCCAGATCAGTAAGTAATCTGTTTCTATTTCAAGTTCATGACTTGTAGTATAGAGCCCCCTTTCCTGCTATTCAATACTTGTTTTGGTAGTGCTATAGAGATATTTGTTACATTACCTTGTTACACTGTACATTGGCAAAAATCTGTGACATTCTTTAGATCCTTGTAAATGTCAACTTGCTGGGTTTAACTCACTAGGAAAACATGGGGAAATGCACGGTTTTATTTTTTTGTCACAAGTCACAGTAGCTTGAAAACATTTGTTTTCCATTCTACACTTTTTGCCCCCCGTAGTATTAGTGCATTGTGCTCTCAAGCAGCGTTGGTGAAAAATGAATTGGTGAAAGCGTTATGCACACTTGAATGCAAAGGCCTCTTGAAGCCTAGGTGCAAAGCTCAAAGAAAATAATATATAATGATAATGATTCATAATATAATAAAAAGTTCAAAAGTTAAATAGCAATATATTTAGCCTTTTAACCGACACTGACACTGACACTCGTTGGATACTTTCCGACATGTGTCCGACTGTTGTCAAAACGTGTCATATTTTTTTAAAAGATTTTTAGATCCAGACACTGTTCGAACACTTGGAGGACACATGTGTCCATTGCTTAAACACAAGTGTCCACCAATTAGACACATATGAAACTAATTATAAGTTTGAACTAAATCAGTGTTTTAAAAGGCTCTAGGCGCACCGAGGCGATACGGTCTGCTATAGCCTATGCGCGAGGCGAAGCGCGTGCCTCACCAAAGCAAAACTCAAGTAGTAGAAGAAAAGCAAAATTATAAAATAGACACACTTTTCCTTTTCCAAATCCTTCAACCAACATAGTGGCAGTGAATTATAGGTGGAAATTGGTAGTATGACAACAGTTGGAAGTCCTATTTTGTGTTTAAATAAATAAATAAAAAAACCTAGAGAAAATATTTAGATGATCTTTTCCTTACTAGACTAATGATTGGGTGTTATTCTTAAGTATGAGATGATCTTTTCCTTATGGGCCAATTAAGTATAAGATATTTAGACTGTAGTACTTAGCACCAAAGTTTGTCTTTCTCACTAAGAATTTTCCATCCCAGTTTAATGAGAAGGGATGCATTGTCATCTTTAGCTTTTCTAATACCTAGTCCCCCTTCAACTTTTCTTTTACACACATTATCCCAACACACCAAATGAACTTTCTTCCTGCTATCAGTGTCCCTCTAGAGAAAATTTATGTTCAATCTGTCAATATCATTACAAAGGCTCCTACGAAGTTCCATAGTTTGCATGTTGTAACTGGGAATAATTGAGGTCACAGATTGAATGAGAGTGGTACTCCAACGTGCTCCAAAACCCGTGATTTTCAGATTAAAATGTAGCCCTCGACGATCAACAACTTTTTTATAAAGGCCAAAGGTGAGTAAATCACTCCTACTAGATCAAAACCTAGAGAGAAGGTAGAGTCTAGAGTGAGAGGCTCAACAATGGTGATTTTGGAAAAGTAAGAGAGAGAAGAGAAAGTAAAAAGTGATTTGGAAAGTCACAATTTCGGGACTTAAACCCAGTCTCCCGCTCGAGCGTAAAACACCCCGCTCGAGCGGCCACTCACAGACTTCCGCTCGAGCGGCCAACCTCCCGCTCGAGCGCAGAATGCACTCGCTCAGCACTTTTGCAGAACCAGACCTCCGCTCGAGCTCCCAACCCTACGCTCGAGCGTACAACAGTGCACAACAAATACTGGATGGGTGTATTCCCCGCTCGAGCGCCAAAATCCCCGCTCGAGCGTACAGGCCAAAAATCTGGGCAACTAGTTTTGGTTTCTAAACTCAACCAACCTGTAACAAATCCGCCCAACACATCCTATAACTCAAATACGAAGTAAAAAGGATGCAAACAAGATAATAAACAACTACCAACATCCACGGACACATGTCCGGATCACGGTATAACAAGGGTAAACCCGGGATCGCTATAAGATACATACATGTAGGCTTGATGTTGCAAGTGTCTTTTACCCAGATCAGTAAGTAATCTGTTTCTATTTCAAGTTCATGACTTGTAGTATAGAGCCCCCTTTCCTGCTATTCAATACTTGTTTTGGTAGTGCTATAGAGATATTTGTTACATTACCTTGTTACACAGTACATTGGCAAAAATCTGTGACATTCTTTAGATCCTTGTAAATGTCAACTTGCTGGGTTTAACTCACTAGGAAAACATGGGGAAATGCACGGTTTTATTTTTTTGTCACAAGTCACAGTAGCTTGAAAACATTTTTTTTCCATTCTACACTTTTTTCCCCCCGTAGTATTAGTGCATTGTGCTCTCAAGCAGCGTTTGTGAAAAATGAATTGGTGAAAGCATTATGCACACTTGAATGCAAAGGCCTCTTGAAGCCTAGGTGCAAAGCTCAAAGAAAATAATATATAATGATAATGATTCATAATATAATAAAAAGTTCAAAAGTCAAATAGCAATATATTTAGCCTTTTAACTGACACTAACACTGACACTCGTTGGATACTTTCCGACATGTGTCCGACTGTTGTCAAAACGTGTCATATTTTTTTAGAAGATTTTTAGATCCAGACATTGTTCGAACACTTGGAGGACAGATGTGTCCATTGCTTAAACACAAGTGTCCACCAATTAGACACATATGAAACTAATTATAAGTTTGAACTAAATTAGTGTTTTAAAAGGCTCTAGGCGCACCGAGGCGATACGGTCTGCTATAGCCTATGCGCGAGGCGAAGCGCGTGCCTCACCAAAGCGAAGCGCAAGTAGTAGAAGAAAAGCAAAATTATAAAATAGACAAATTTTTCAACATAACAAATATATATATATATATAATATTTAAAAAATCATAACCATTTTCGATAATTTCTAAACATAACATTCAATTTTCTAAAAATTAGAAATATAATATCCAACAAAAGATATAAAGTATAACATTCAATCTTTTATCACTTTTTGCTCTCTTTTGACTATATTTGGTCATTTTATATTGAATAGTTTTGAATCCTTGTGGGTATGTTCACAAAAAAAGCACTTAATCAACAATTGGAGTAGAAAAATGGGTAAAGCCCATGAAGCTCACGCCTTGCGCCTCAAAAAAAGCCCTCGCCTCAGCTGCGCCTCGCGTGTTGCGCCTTGCCTCGATCTGTTCGAAGCGGGTTGCACCTCATTGTGCCTTGCGCTTAGGTGCGCGCCTAAGCGCGCCTTTTAAAATACTGAACTAAATAACTTAGGATACAATAATAAAAGAAAAAATGAAGTAAATTTATAAAATAAGTGTTATATTGCATTTTTTATTATTTTTGAATGACATATTCATATATGTGACGTATAATAAATATATTAAATTATATATTTCGTGTGTGTCCCCCGCGTGTCCTACATATTTTGAAAGTTGGTATGTCCTCATGCTTGTATAGTATGTGTCGTGTCGCGTGTCCGTGTTTGTGTTTCTTAGTACATAGGTTTTGATTGCATCACACAATCCATAAGAAAGCTTCAAAGCTCCTGAAATTCTCTAATATCAACTCTGTTAACTTAGAAGCATTACACGACTTTGTATAAGCTTTAGAGATTTCCTATTCCAACTAGAACTAAAAAAGAAAACTACTAAAAATATTTTAACTTCCAAAACTAATTTAAAGCCAAATAAGAAACATAAATTAAAACTAATTAAATAACTTGATCCACAAGACAACCCATGGGTAACCCCTATAGCCCATGTTAGCAAATATAAAAATTACCAAAATACCCCTATGCTAAAAATTCTAGGAAACTTAAAAATAATAATAAAATAACACTCTAATAATACTAGAGACATGATTACATATGGTTCCTATTGGTTTTTCTTTGAAATCAGGCAATTTTTCTTTGAAATCATGCAAACTTTCAAATATCATCACTTCTTTGAATTTGCGCTTCCTTGAGCTTCTTATACTTTGCATCACTTGCCAATATCTTTAAATTTGAAAACAATTATTGGTGGATAATATAACAAAGTGTCCAACTAATCATATACCATTTAAGCAAATCTTTTTATATAATTTCTCATGTGCTTTACCAAATAATCACAATTACAAAATATTTACAATAATGATACTTGATAGTCATGATCAAAATGAAGTATGTGGTTGAATAAAAATATATCTAAAAGTCAAAATCGAAAAACACTAGTGGTCCATGCCTAAAATAAGCAACGCAATACGATCCTCAAGTGTATAATGATCATTCTCATTAAGCATACGACCATCATCATTGTAATCTAAAGGTAGAGCTAATAAATTATATATGTTAAAATATAAAAAAAAAGCTCGATTTAAGCTTATCAAATAGAATGTTTTTAGTGTAGTGTTGTAAATATGCTTCGTTTTACCTACTAAACGCTCTTCTGTTATTGCACTTTAAGTGCGTTTTTACCAGCACTGCTTTAACGAATTACAGAATTTACTGTATTTCGCTTGTGCATACCTGCACTAAATGATTATGCAATGTGTAGGAAAAGGCACTCAACTTCCAGTCACGACAATTCAGTTTCTAAGTTCAGTGGAACCAGGATTTTGTATGACGGGCAGAGCATTGAAAGGCGGCCAAACGCTGCACTTTTTCTTGAAGATATCAAACAAGAGGTTGAGAGCTTTGATGCTGATCAATTAGAAGGAACACCTGCAAAGACACAATCTGGTTTGTGGAGAAAATCATTGGCTGGCAGTCGTGGTGTATCTGAGGCAGATGTTGCTGCTGATTCGATACATCGACCTGGAAGTTATTCATTAAAATCTTGCAAGCATGAGGATGATGCATTGTCAGATGGTGGAGATACAACTTTTACTTTATTTGCTTCTCTACTTGATTCTGCTCTCCAAGGTGCTTGAAGTAAAATTTCTCAATTAAAATCACAATTTTCTCACTGTTTTTGCATATGGATTGGTCTCTTACGTCAATGGTTAAAGATTTTGGCCAGGTTTGAAGGATGTGTTTAAGTTGCATTTATTCATCTAACCTATGCCAGTTTATGTAGGTGTGAGATCACAAGATGTTTTCTTGAATCTAATTAATGTTTATCAATTTTGGAGCTGAGTGGATCATTTAAAAAAAAAAATTAAACTTTAATTATTTTGGATTCAGTGACATCAAAGAGGGCAATTCATCAAGTGCATTAATCTTTTGGAGTTTCAGGAACTATTTGATTATGCTTCTGCATATGTGATGCCACTATATTTTTGTGTTTAATTATGTGTAAATCCAAGTTCACCCCTTTTAAATATATATATATATATATATGATGAGTCATATGATGAGAGGTGCCAGAATCAAAAAGCCAGACAGAATAAGGGACACTTGAAGAGGACCCAAGCAAACTTGAATGAAGAAAGGTACGAGCGGAGGCAGATGTGGATGGCTGAGAGAAGGGCATGATATGCTGAAGTTGTGCAATTTGAGCACTCAAGGAAGCTAAGTTAGGATTAAGAGTTGGAGTAGATGCAGTATAAGCGGCAGGAGGTCAGAAAGTACCTGGAAAAGAATTGCGGAACTGTGTCGGAGCAGACTGGTGTCCTTTCTTGGGACAGTTGTTCTTCCAATGACCCATCTGATGGCAGAAAACAAACTTATCTAGACTTAATGGTCCTTTTCTGGGTTTTGTAGTGGCCTGAAGTTGATGAGGAGATGGAGTCGATAATAAATGAGGCTTAGCAAGAGCCAAGAAAACATGGCAGCAAAAACCAGCCGGTGGCCTCTGGCTGCTGCCGGTGGTGTATGGGGATGCCTCACAAGGCATTCCCTACCCTTCCAAGGCAAAATGCAAGTGTTTGGTGCAAAACCAGACACTAAACGGTCGAGTTCGGAGATCCTGAGGCAAGGCGCGTAGCCGAGACCTCCGGGAACTCCAAACGAACACAAACATGGATGATCACCGAGTGTTCAAACGGTGACGTACAAGTCTTGAGGACGGTCAAAAATGGGGTGTCTACATCGGTATACTACTCTCGGCCTCATGGTGAGCCCTCTTCGACCCTTCTCCATGAGTTGTGTCGAAGCACAGTGCCTGCCCCTGAACATGCCGATGTCCTTTGGGGTCTGCCTCTTTTGTGCGATGCGTCCTCCGTGATTCTTCTCTTCTTGATTCTCTTCGTCCGACTTCCCTAGAAGGTCGGTGAGAGTATCTTTCGCTCTCGTTGTGCTGAGGGGCTACGGGGATTGTTTTCTGCCCTTCCTTCTGGGCATTGGCTGCTGGAATCGGCGTGTCCTGCAGCAGGTCGGTGAGAGTATCTTTCGCTCTCGTTGTGCTGAGGGGCTACGGGGATTGTTTTCTGCCCTTCCTTCTGGGCATTGGCTGCTGGAATCGGCGTGTTCCCTAGAAGGTCGGTGAGAGTATCTTTCGCTCTCGTTGTGCTGAGGGGCTACGGGGATTGTTTTCTGCCCTCCCTTCTGGGCATTGGCCGCTGGAATCGGCGTGTCCTGCAGCGGGAACAGTGGCTGCATGATGTTATTTTGCATCATGAAATTGACGACCGACTGCAGGTTTGCCAATTTTTTTGCCATCTCTTTTACCTCTTCGTCCCTCCGTAGGCACCTATCCTTCCAAACCTGGAGGTCGCCCTCGTTGTAGTACTTGCTTCGATCAGGTTTCTTCGGTGTGTCACCAGTCTGGCCGACGTCTTTCACTCTGTGATTCTGGTCACGAGTTTCTCTGTTGCATTCGTCTCCTGTGATATCAAAGTCAATAGGTCTCCCACTCCCAGTAGGAGTGTTGTCCCCAATCTTTTCCTTCTATCCGTTACTAGCCATCTATTCTATTTTCTTTCCCACAAACGGCGCCAAATTGTGTGAGTGATTTTCCGATCACACTGCCCAACTCAGTATTCAGCTGGAGAACACTAACAGAATAGATGACACCTGGCTAACCTATAACAGAAAGAGAAGATTACGATGGTGGTTCGTCCACCCAGGGGCACTCCGACGATCAAGTCAGTATATCTCTCATAGATAATCAATAGTGCTTAACTCACTAGACAGAGTATAAATTGCGTACCTTAAACCCATGGGGGTGCCTTTCTTTTATAGTCACCTCAATCCTAATCCCAATAGAAACCTGACTTCTATAGATTCCTGTTCAGTACTTACTTTGGACTCCTCAAGAGATAAAGATAAACTCTCTAAGGGTTTTATCCTTATCTTGGCTAAGTCTCTTCTTTATTCTAGGACTCTTGTCCCTTATCTCTTATCCCGGAATCCGATATCTTCGGAGATTATCTCGGTTTCGGCGTCATAGCCTGGACACGTGACACCTCGGCTGACACATCGGCGTCACTTTGGCCATGTGCTGGGACTCAAAAAATATATCCCACACAAACATTATGAAACCAGTATTTCATTAGGATGAAATTAAATAAATTTAACAAGTCATTTTTTTTTTCATTCTATAATTTGAAATAGTTAAAAACCATCTCATTATACATTATAAAATACTGATGAAATAAAGAATTAGTGACTTTATAAAATAGGTATTGATAATGCAGTTTGAGTAGGGTAAGATTAGTCGGACCGATCCAAACGCTCCACGAGTCGACTATCCTTTGTTTTTCGAATTACACTTACAACAAGTCCAGTAGGAAGACTCCAAAATGGGGGTGGATCCTTCCCGTGGACCTTTCGACGAACAAGTTAGAAGTGAACACGGTCGGAATAGCAGTTAGAGAGAGAAGATAGGGAGGAGGGATTGAGAGGGATAGAAAAATTACTTGTTCCTTAAGCGTTCTTCCTTAGATTACTTGTTGACCATTCTCCTATCCCCTTTAACTGTTTTGTTGACCAAAAGTCTATGGTCTACTTACCGTCAATCATGGTGGTTTCACTATGCCCTGGAGCGAGAGGTCTTGTTGCATTTAATACTATGGCAGCCTCATTTAATGCTTGGTATATGGATGCAATAACTCTACAGGATCTTTGTTTCCTACATAGTTGGCCCTCTGCCTAACATATGTCTAAGTGATATCTGGGCTTGGCCATTATAAGTCCCCTATTGCGCTTCATGTTGGGCTAGTTCTTGGCCTCATGATGATAACTAATCTGTCTATGGGTTGGGCCTCCCATGGGCCATGCCTATCAATAGTCCCCCATTCTCGAGCACAACTTTAGTCCAGCGAAGGGAATAAAATAAGTAAAATGAGTCCTCCTAGCCAAGCAGGTATGACCAACCAGAAATAGTGGATGAGCTGGAATGTGATTGACCAGGAGTGGATAAACAGGTATCGTCAATCTGTATGGTGGATGACCTGGAAGATGGTCGACCAGGAAGAGGGACGAGTTGGAAGGTAGCTGACTAAAAGTGGCCGAACAGATATGGCCGACCTGGAGGGTGGACGACCTGGAAGATGGCCGACCAGGAAGAGTGGACGAGCTGGAAGGTGGCCAACCAGGAGTGGCCGAACGGGTATGGCCCATCAGGTATCATTTCATTATATATTTTTATAACTAATCTCATCATACATATTACAAATATTCATGAAATATAAGGGTAGTATTATAATTTTCCAAACTTGGGGGCCACTGCCCGTCCTACACAATTCTGTCCCTGAGTCGTCATTCATTATACAAGAGTTCGAATATGTAACACATTATTTTTCGAATAATTTTTTATTTTTATTTTTATTTTTATTTTTTTCAATATCTGGAATTATTGTTTCCATTTGTGGAGATTAATTATAGATTTATCTACCCCTTGAGACAATCATTAGACAAAAGTTGGACATATTTTTGTAGAGATTGGGCTTTTTTTTTAAATTCACATCTCAATTTGAGAGAACTTAATGGTGTGTTTGGTTGGGAGATTTGGGGAGAGATTTGGAAAGGGAAAGGAAAAAGATGTGTGAAACTATGTGAAATATATACATATTTTTATTCACATTTCACCTATCTTTTTCATTTCCCTTTCCAAATCCCTCCCCAAATCCTCCAACCAAACACAGCATAAAGGGTTTGCTAGGTCCATTATGTATTCCGTTTTGATAATTTGAATTGTTTATTTTGTAGAATTATAAATATATATATCATTTAAAAAAAAACATTAAGTTGATTCGACGATCGTAATGTTTTCATTTTATCACATTTGTCTCTAAAAAATAAACGACAAGTATATTTTTGAAAATAGACGGTTCTTTTTTCTTTTTTCTTTTTTTTTTGAGAAGCACGATATAATAAAAAAAATATTATGATTATCGGATCAATCCAATTATTTTCATGAAAAAAAAATATAAAGCAAACAGTTCAAATCATCAAAATAAAATTCATAATTGGCTTCACAAGCTCCTCAAGCTCTCACAAATCGATATGTGAAGTTACGGGAAACTAAACATTGTTTTTAGACTTTAATATTGATCGTGAACTAATATATATATATATATATTTTTTTTTTTTCTTTTGCGCATAATTATAGGCAAGTTATAATTCAAATGGGCCTTGGAGTGATCGATTATAGATTACTGTTGTGAATCACAACTTGTGATATGGGTGCAAAAATGGCACACGGACTGTGGGTGGCCCAAAGTTTGTCCGTAGCTTGGGGTGGGCCCGACCCTCAAGGTCCAATGTAATTTTTAATTGAAAAGAATAAAATTTTAGTAGAAAAAATAGGGAAAAAAATTGTTCAAATCCGCCCAAGCTCGAGCCCAATCCGAGGCCCAGCCCGTTGTCTCACCCAAGGCCTGAATATCTCATAGGCTTGGGCTTGGGCCTAATTTTTTGATCCGTGGGCCGGCTCGATTTGCCCCAAATTTTGGGGGGAGCTTACACGACCCGACAAGGGCCAACTCGAGCCTTGGTGGGTCGGTCTAGGTCGAACTGGGACAAATTTACACCATTAGTGATAGTCAGCAAACTATCATACTAAAATTAATTA